CAACTTGGAGGCTCTATTGCAATTATTGGCCTTTATTATTCTACACTTTAACTTTAATCAACATCAATCACTTATTATGTCATAATAATTAAAACTCATTCTTGGCATAACATCTCCAACCCCCCAATGCATAATGTTAGTAAACATTCCATATAGATTGGTAGCAACGTAGAAAATAAGTGAAGAAAAAAAAAATAGTAGCAATTTCACCCTTTTTATTTAATATCTTTTTGAGGATTTAATAAAATAATTTTATTCTTAAAAGTACTTACATGACTATTTTAGTATGATTAATTTAGCATATAATAAAGTTATGTAGACAAGTTACTATTTTCCACGTGAATCTTTAAGCATCTAAATCTGTGTATACAATGATTGAATTTGAAATATAATCTGAGCCACTAAAATGGAAGTGTGGTAAGGTAACTAGAGTTGTTGGTGGGTTTGTGCAGGATTATGAAGTAACCATAGAACTTTATCGCACACCATATTTGGTGGACATAGTTCGAGAAGAAGTTGGACGCGTGCTCACACTAGACTCTATACAAGCGGGTAATGCTTGGATTGGCATGGACATGTTAATCTTCAACTCCTGGCATTGGTGGACCCACACAGGAAATTCTCAAGGGTATTATTTCCCTCACCAATCATTTTAAGATTAATATAAAAATCTACAAACTATAAATAAATTTAACCATTATTATATTAAAAAAATGACTTTGTTCTATGTAACACGTTCTTCAAACTTAGCTTATAAATAGATTGATCTTATTATTTGTAATTGATTGTAGTAAAATTTTCAATTCATGGTTGTCCTTTCAGATGGGATTACATTAGAGACGGTCCGAATCTACTAAAGAACATGGAGCGTTTGGAGGCTTTTTATAAAGGAATGAGCACATGGGGTGAATGGGTTGATCAAAACATAGACCCTAGCAAAACAAAAGTTTTCTTTCAAGGCATTTCTCCTACTCATTATCAGTAAGTAACTCTTGTTATTAGCCGAAATCCTTATTTTAGCAAATATTAACGAACTGAAATGCATTTGATGACGATGTTTTGAATCAGAGGTGAAGAGTGGAATGAACCGAGGAAGAGCTGTAGTGGAGAACTTGAACCACTTGGAGGGTCAACATATCCTGCTGGTCTACCTCCTGCAGCAAACATAGTGAATAGAGTGTTGAAGAACATGAAGAGTAAAGTTTATCTACTTGACATAACACTTCTCTCACAGCTAAGAAAAGATGCACATCCCTCTTCTTATAGCGGGGACCATGCAGGAAATGATTGCAGTCACTGGTGCTTACCAGGGTTGCCTGATACTTGGAATGAACTCCTAAATGGAGCTCTGATCAGCTGAACTTACACTGTAAACTCTTACAATAATACTATTCTACTCAAGGGTTTAATTCAATTGTGACATAGGACTCTTCAAACGTAGTTATTTGCAAACCGAGTTAGTCAGGAAGATCAATTTGTTACACATGTCCACAAAATAGACATTACAAGGGGTTACTCAATGTTTGTTGTGACTTGCAATTCAACTTTACTCATAATTCATGCACTCTTTGTATGGAACAACAAAATGATATATAGACTCCTTCGATTCAGCAACACCTATGAGACACTTTATTTTTAATATTATATTTGCTGACTCATTTACTAATGGTAATGGGTAAAAAGAGAAAATAATGAAAGAGAAAACGTTTAGAAAAGAGAAGCAAGTGCTACAGGAAAGATTTACAACAAACAAAAGAGAAAACGAGGACATATCTAGGCCCACATATCATCGCTAAGCCTAACAAATTTAGGGATTATATTTTGTAAGGGTTGATTAGTTTATATGAAACTGTATTTCTCTGTTCTAAAAGAATATATTTCCGTTAGATTAGGGTCAATTGTCGCTACAAGACACTATTAGTGTGTACAAGGCCTTAGTAAAAGGAAAAAGCCAGTATATAAGGGTAGAAAAGAAAGTTTTTTTTTTTTTTTAATTTAGGTAGGTCCCTCCTTCTGTTTTGTAGTGTATTCATTTTGTGCTCTCATTGACCTTCTTGCCCCTAAACCAAAATAAGATATTGAAGAAACCTTGCAAGGTATCTTTGAAAAGTTAACCAATTTCCAATCCCAATTTAATGTTGCCATAACCATACAAGATATTCGTTATACTACTTTTCAACCGTCCATTCATGCCCGTCATTCTACTTGGAGATCAAGTAGGAAACCCTCCATGATATTTGTCAATATCCTCCTTTTCAATATGACAACCAAACCACCTACACCCCCTCCGCAGCCATTTATCCACCAATCTTCTCACCAAATATCTTTGGCTTTACACACTATAGCAAAATTTACTATAGCAACCACAAATACTACTATACCACCATTTAACCAACTTTCACCTCCTCCTTCTCCAAATCTTCATTTTCGCAAAATCTAATTAGCTTTCTTGGATGTTTCAGATCCACTTGATTGGCTTTCTCAAGTAAACCAATATTTCCAGTTTTAAAATATTGCATGGGAAGTGTGACTCAAGATTGTTTCTTTCTATACGAGAAGGGAAGCTCTGAGTTGGTTTAAGTGAAATATTCATTGGTAATTACTTACAAAAAAATCTGTCAATAAATTTTGTCTATAAATACTATGATTTGGTTCTTCTTCAGCCATATCTCTCTTTCTTTTTTGTTTTACGGTTTCAATTTATGCTTTTTTTGCCAACAAAATCAAATTTGCTTACTCTTGCCGCTGTTCTATTTCTCCCCCACAATCACACATTTGCAACTTCTTCTCAACCCAACATTTCATCTTTACATTCAATACTTCCTCTTCTTTCCAATCAAGTTTTAGTTGAGAACCCACCAACACATAACCACTCAAGAACTCACCAACACATAACCACACACACTAGTGATTCTACGACTATTACAGGTGGAACGGATTGAGATTCCTTGACCTACCCAAATTAATTCTCGTGTTCATGACTGAAGCAGAAATGCTATGGTGTTTGGCGATAGTGACATAGCTTCTAGTCATGGCGACAACGCGTTTGGATGAAAGTAAAAAGTTGTAGAAGGTTGAGAGTTGTGGCCATGAGATGAGATCTAATGAGGTGTTGTGAATTTGCCAATGTGGTGTTGTGACCTTGACAAATAGAGATAAAGAGAGGGACATTCGTGTGTTTTTTTTAAGAAAATAGAGATAAAGAGATGAAAGTGGATGAAAGATTTGGACAGAAAATTTGTTGCTTTTTTATTGACAAACTTTTTCATCGGTGATTTATATCAAAAAAATTCATCAATAATGTATCTGTCAATAAAATTCATCGGTAATTAAAATTTTAAAATTCATAGTAACTCAAATTTACTAACAAATTCATTTTTTTTCAATAAAATTTCGTCGATAATTTCATATATTTTTGTAGTATAAGATAAATGAATGAAAATTAAAAAATATAATAACAATTTACCAAAATACAAAAAAAAAATTAATTTAAAAAAATTCAGAAATGTTTTAAGAAATATATTAACTTAAAAAATGAGAAAGTGAAAAAATAAAAATTAAAATATTAATTTGAAAAAAAAAATGAAATTATAAAAGGTTTTTCAATTTGACAGAAATAATAAATGTGTTCAAATCTTTGTTTATATTTAAAATATGAAAAAAAAAGAATAGATTTTAGAAAATAATATAAAAAATATGTTAATAAAAAAAATTAAAAATAAATAATTGTCAAATAAAATACACACACCGTAAGTGTATAAAGATTAATATTGGAATATACCAGTGTATATTAAATATTTCATATTATACATATAAATTTTAGGAATTATAATTTATTAACAGCTTGATTCAATAAAAAATTTCATAAAAAATTTCGTTAAATTGATAAGGAGGACATTTTTAATAAGTTAAACCTAGTTTTTATTTATTTAATTATTTAGAATTTCTTTCATTACTTTTTCTTAAATTTTAAAATTAATTTATATATAAATTCATTTGATTTTGTGATTTTTTTTCTTAAGTTTTCAGAAAAAAAATTGAACAAATATATCCTAGATCTGATTTCATATAGTGTTTTGTAATGTGTATAATATGTAATAAAGATTTTTCATTCCTTGTATACAATTTATTTCTCATTTTTATCTTAATAATATTTTAAAACTTTAATGTTTTAAATCTAAAAACTATAACAGTAAAAGAAAAAAGAAAAGTAGTGGAAAAAACTCATTAACCAAATAAATAATTAAAAAGATAGGAAAAAATAAAATCAACATTCAAATTATTACTTATTAAAGAAAATAAAATTAATCATTGCGTAAATGACAATTTTAGTAGAAAGGAAAGATAAAAATTATCAATTAGGTAACTATTACTTCATCGAAATTTTAAAATTATATCCATATCTGAAAATCCGTAATTTCCTTTATAAGTTTAATCCAAATTGTAAACTTAGGATAAACCATAATTAAAATATTCACTCTTAGAAGTTAAAACAAATTAATATTAAAACAAAATTACACTTAAGGTATCTAAATCATTAGGTCATATTTTCACCATGAATTAACAATCAAACTCAACATCAAATAATAACTGTATAAAATATAGATTAAGCTGATATTACATTATTGTACTGTAATTATTACAACCAAAAAGTGTACATAAGGCAACTAATAAAAAAGTACGTTCATGCATTCGGAAATAACGAAAGGATAACACGGCCAAATCGATTAAAGAAACACCAACACTCCAACACGCAAGTTTCCTGCAAATAATTGAACATGTCAAGGTTGATGAAGAGTGGCAATGAAATGGGAAATGTTCATAAAACACTCTACAAGTTTGTTTTTTTTCTTTATCTATCTTTGTATGGACAAAATAATTATGTAAGTTAGATTTAAATCTAATTTATCCATACAACATATCTCTTGTATTGAAATAGTATACGAATGTTTTATTAGTATCATTTTTTAAAAACTGAATTTAATAGTTAAGAAAGAGGTGCAGTACGTAAAAGGAAGTGAAACTAACCCAAGGTAGCTAAGATTAGTAGCCAACATACACAGCAGCATTAACAATGTAGCAGTCATCGTTCTTCTCAGCTACTTCTTCAGTTGAGCACACTAGTCCACCATCCACTACGTCAAACTTCATAATTTCCCCACTGAAATTATTTTCAAATACATGCATGTGGTGAATCCAAAAGGGTAAATTCAAACGAAAAACAAGAAAACCTTATTTAAAAGAGGCTGAAATGTCTAGGGTTTCAAAAGGACAACGTTAACAAAATGTTTGTACTCACTATGGAAACACAGACTTTATTTTATCCTTATCCAAGTTTTGTTGCAGAGGATGAGGCACCCCCAGTTTGACATGTAGTTTCATGTCATCAGATGTCACACCAGGGATGCAACCTGCACCGAATTTTATTAAACAAAAGATCAAAATTATACTTAAAAAAATTAAAAATAAGTAAATTTATTAAAAAAAAAAAGAGGAGTTTTTGGTGATGATTAAAACAAATTAAAGCGTAAATTTATAGATATTTATTTTAAACTTTTAGGATTCAAAACAAAGCTATATAACATTATTCCAACAATTATTTACAAATACTTATTTAACAAACCTCGATCATGATTTATTTAGAATTGACTAAAAGGAAGGAAAATAAATTTTTCTTTCATTTAATTGATAATCATTTAAAAGTTAATATTAACATGGGTAAACAATAAAACCTAATTCAGAAATACCTTTTAGGAATGCTGGAAGTGAATTGGTAGCGATTGCATCTCTACATGCTCTCATTGCAGCAGCTGTTATGTCTTGACTGTCCATCGGTAATATCATTTCAATGTATATAAGGTTTTGAAGACCCAAGAATGTTTGTAAGTATAACATATGTACAGAGGCAAAATAAATGAGACAAATGTTAAGGTCTAGGAATGAAATAATTATTGAAGATCCAGATAACAATTAGATCAGATTATATAATATAATGCTCTCCTTATTATAAATTTGTATTTTAAAAGTTGAACTATATAAAAATTTAATTATTGAGATGAGATCAAAGGTATTCTGAATTTCAAGTTATTTAAAGTTATCAAGTTAGGAAGGATATAGATTGAAAATTTTGCATTTAATAAGAATTAAATATATAAGTGAGATGTAATTCTGAATTTTAAGAGTATTAAATAATTAAGAAGGTAAAGTTGCTTTAAGTATAAACTCAATTCAATTAAAAAATAAATTAGTAGTATGTGAATTTGTTATGTCTGATCCGAATTCGTCTTTAATTACCTGAATATACGTATAGGTATGATACTGACTTTTTAGATCTAGTAGGAAATTAGATTGAACATGTTACAAGATTTGGACGAACATGAATATAGAGGTATATGATACTAATTCTGTTTCACATTACTAAAAACAACTTTAAAACAATTTTAGTTTATTGGATAGTTTATTCTAAAGTTTATATGATTATAATATTTTCTTTACTTGATATTAAAAATAAAAAATATTTTGTATGTATTTAATTCTTAAAAATATTATATTTATTTTATTGTAATTTTTATTTTTTAGAAAAATATATTTAATAAATATTTGATTGTATGCAATTAAAATAAAATAAGAAACAAATTTGATATATATTTGATATAAAAAATAGAGAAGAATATAAGTATTTTTTATATAAAGAATAGAGACGAATATACGTTTTTCTATTAAGAATAGAGATGGATATATTCAAATTTGCATAACAATATTCTATTATGTAAAACATAGAAATTAAATTTCCATAGTAATATTTCATTAAAAAAATCATCAATTTCTTTTACTAAACAATTTATAGCCTTCTCTTTTTCTTCATAAACTTTATCCCAAGAAAACAAAAGTAATAAGATATAGAATGAATACCCATGAAGATCATAGCCAACACCCATCTCAACGAACAAAAGCTTCATGTCATGCAATGAGCTTTCTTTTTGTCCACCACCTTCCATTAGATCACTTGATATATTTCTCCTTCAATGAAGCAAAGAGAGATTATAATGTTGGAAAAAGTTTAACTATTTATATATACTTATCAGATTGAAACCTTGTTTCTGAAATTTGTTGTTTATAACTACGTGTATATGCGAAAAGGAGACAGCTCTTCGCATAGCTTGTCGTGTGTGTTTGTATATGTGTCAAATTAACATTGATATGGTGATACGTGTATGATAACCTAAGAATATGATCAAATGTTTTTCAACACATAAGATGCTACGTAACATAGATGCATGAGCTGGTTAAATTTGTGTAATGAGTATATTTAAAATTAATTATTAATTGATTAACCATGTCATAGAACACATTTTTTTTTTAATTTATTGTGCTTGTTTAGTTGAATATTTTCATGTGTAGATACTTAACTCGTTTATTTAAACTACGCTGTTTTAGTTTCAGAAATGTATTTTTATAAAATAATGCCTAATATTTGAACACCTTTTTTAATATTTAACCCTTACAGAGTTCAAGATCGGTCTCTTATCAAACATGTACTAGTACAAAAATATTGTATAACGTCGGTGTTTTTTGGTCTTTCATGTCAAATTCAAGGCTCATGTTATACTAGGAGATGTTAAATTGACATTGAATTTTCAACGTTAATTTAGTTATTTGACGTCAAACATAGATCAATTCGACGTTAATCAATTTTTTAGTTTTTTTTGTGATCCTTTGTGATCTTTTTTACAACTCTACGTGAAAAACAAAAAATAACAAATTTAATTCAGTTTTTGATATTTTATACACCAAGAACTATGAACATGTAGTATAATATCAATAACAATAAACAAACAACAATAACAAACAACAAACAACAAACAACAAGTTCAGCAAAACAACAACAACAAACAAGTTCAACAAATAAGTTCTTCAAAACGAAAACGAAAACTAACGTTCAAAAGTTGAGTTTGTCAAAATAAGTATTGTCACCAATGAAAGAGAAAGCAGAATGCACTATGAAGGACAAGAACACGAAAACAATCAGTTAAAACAAACGAAAATCATACCTAAAGTAGTTAATCAACATGCATTTATATCAAATAAAAGAAAAATCATATGTGATGGTCGTCAAATTTAGTTCGAGAAAAGTTTGAGTAGCGAAGAGGGTTTCGCGCGCTAAGATAAAATGAATTTTGAACCTCCTGCTCAAATTTTTATTGAGTTCACTAACATTTTAATGTCTAACTCTAGGACATTCGACGTTTTATAACCTTTTGACGTCTAATATTAGGGAATTCGACGTCATATGTAAGTACATTTTCACCCTCACACCAAGAATTTTCGCAAAATTTACCCAATAAGACGTCGAACTTCTCAATATTTGACGTCTTATAACAAATTAAAACGACATCTAATAATTCCATTTATTTACAAAAATATCACCGATCATGTTGATTATTAAGTGATTTAACGTGTGACGTTTTATACTAGTGATGTTTAGTTAATAAACTTTTGAATATTAACCCTAATAAATAACAAAGTGTGTTAATTAATAGTTTATAATAAATAGGAATTCAGTCCACCTAATTTCTTAATTTATATACTTATAATTTGTCAATATATTTATATAAATCGACAGGATGATAAAAAATATACGGATAAATTTTTCTATCCAGTAAAAGTCCTAAAATATTATATACATTTTTAAAATAAAAATATTTACTATTTTAAAATTTAAATATATTTTTAGATAATTGTCAGATTTAAATATTACTTAAATTATATTAGTTATAACAAGAAATGAAATGTACATGTACAATTTTAATATTTTTAGACATATTATTGTTATTTTATTTTAGTTAATTTATTATTATTTTTTATTTGTATTTTAGACTTAATTTATATTTTTCTATTGTAAATAAAGAATTTTTTATTTAACATAAAAGAGATTAGTTTTATATATAATTTTTTATTATTTAATTAATATAATGTTAATATATATTTAAAAAGAATATTTCAATAATAAAAAAGGTATATATATATATATATATATATATATATATATATATATATATATTAGTATTATATGCATGTTGTTTTTATTTAGTTATATAAACAATTTTTATAAAATTTGAGAGGTAAACTAAAATATAAATATATTTTCTAGTATAATCATGAATGTAAATATTTGTATATAAATCAAGTTAAATTTATGTCTCTTTTATTTCTCTTTTCTTCTTTATAGGATTACCTGTATAATAAAGTCGTATCTATATATATTTTCAAATTTTAAATATATTAAATTAGTACCCTTAAATTATAAGAAGGCATGTGTAGTATATCTTTCTACCTAGCTAAGAAGAATTTCGTTCTACTTGTGCCACGTCGTCATAAAGCTACGCCACGTATATATAAAAATGCAACACGCATAAGTTTATTTTAAAACAATTAAACTTCAAAAATCACTTCACAATTCTCAATGACGTGTTCATCTCTATCTATTTAAAACAAAATATAGTGTAATGAAACGTTAACGAAAATAAGTTCCAAAACCCAATTACAAAAGGATTTAAAGTTTAAAAAATAACAATTACAAATTGTAAAGTACAAAGCTTCATAAAATCCTCCAAATAATCTCAAAAAAATGTTCAAAATCAGTTTCTTTAACTTTGTATATTACGTTCCATACAATATGACCTATTTAAAAATATTAAAATATAACATTTTTTTAATGTCATGAGTAATTTGAATTGGCTTTTAAAATAAACAAATGTAAAATAGAAATAACTACAATCTATCTTCTTGCAACGTATTACCAAATCAAAGGTTATAAACTTCACTATCAGTTCTTAAAATTTTTCATTAATAACATTCAAATTTGAGGGGAAAAATATTTTATCTAATATAATACTAAGAAAATCAATTCTATTGAAATTCGAAAATTGCCCCTACTTAATTCTGCAACAGATGTCCAATAAAATGTTATAAACATAAAAAAATGCTGAATGCTTAACTTTCGATGATTAATTGCATCTTAAAAAAAAAACATTTCTATTTAGTTATTCAATAAAAGTATTACAGTATAGTGCTCACATGATACCTCTCAATGCCACGTCAAAATATAGAAGAAATGTCAATTTTTCATGTTATTATATAGCCATGAATGGTTCAAATCAAGAGTTGAATATCATGATAAACCGAACGAAGCTCTGCAAAGCCTGAAAGTTAATAACCCACATAAACAGCAGCATTCACAATATAACAATCATCATTCTTGTCACCCATTTCCTCTACAAGCACCCCACTTGAGCATATCAAACCACCATCCACAACTTCAACATTCAAAATTTCTCCACTGCAAATTTAAAAACAAAACAACACAAACTGAGTAAATAAACACAATACATTATCAACTACCCAAAGAAATGAGCGAAAGCATAGGTTAATACATGTTCATTAGGATCTACGAACACCAAAATTATGAAAGCATAAGTCAATACAAGTTCATTAGGATCTACGAACACCAAAATCATGTTTTTGTTCTGGCTTTCAAGCAAAATATATAAACTTTAATACGTAATACAAACAGAGAGATAAGAATAACTTAGGTTTCTGATAGAAATGTGAAGTTTAATATCCAATAACCAGAGTACAGTAAAAGATTGAAATAACAACAGCTAATTTTACAAGAAAAAGATGATATGTGATTTCATATTGATAGTCATGTCATCACTTAAATAGAACAATATGAAAAAGTAACAAAACAAGGCACTGATTTTTCACTGTTCTGGGTACTTACTAGGGAAAAACTGATTTAACTTTCTCCACATCCAAAGATTTCTGGAGGGAATGAGGAACCCCTAGCTTGATATGCAATTTCATCTGGTCAAAACTCACACCAGGAATGGAACCTAAATCAAACTTGTCTCAATTAGAAATCATTAGACAATTTGAACGCGTAAATTACCCAACCATACATTTTTAAAAAATTAATCAGCAATGAACAACCGTACAGAAAAATCGTAAAAGTTAGAAATAATTGGAGATTTTTGGTCATAGGAAACATCTTATTGTACGATATTTTCCGAAACTATCTAGAATTAGTGGGATGGAAATCAAGTCAAGCTCACTATAAATTTCTCACGAGAAGAATGAATTCTAAGTGCACAATATAACCGTCCAATTAGCTATGGACCGGACGACCCACAATTGGGTCGTAATTAGGCTATTGTTAATTAAAGGTCTACTTCAAAATCTATAAATATAAATATAAATGAGATAACGAGTAGATGATCTGCATTTACTACTGTACCATTAATATTTGAATGGCAATGTTAAGCTGACTTTGGTTTCGGAATACCTTCTCTATGTACCTTTTGAACGGCTTAGACAAATGGTTACAAGAAGACTCGGAGTTGAAGACAACTTTTGGCTCCTTGGACAACTTACTTGAAGTTGGACCGTTTACCTCGATCGAGCGAAACACTAAGCATTACAAATAGATCCTATCCTAATGAACTAGTTATAGATAAAGATCCCTAATACCAACATAATAATGTTAAACTAAATAAGAATATACTATTGAATAAATATAATTTACTTGTAATAAGTGTTTTTAGGATAAAATCTAAAATCTCCATCCACAATACATGGCAATTAATTAGTACCTTACAAACACATAAAGAGGACAGTTTAAAATTACTGAAATTAGTTTATTACAAAAGAACGAATGGAAAGTAAGGAAAACAAGGAAAAAGAGAGATCTGTACTCAGATGCCATAAAACAAGTTATCTTTCTAAATGTCAGTTTGCTATACATTCCCTAACTAGCATAGGAGAAATTAAACATTCCATGCATTGATTCCTTTCAGTTTCCTGACCATGGAAAAATATCATGTCAGTGATTCTACTATTTCTTCATACTTTACCATACAGGGCAATAAATTACATGTTTAACTAATAGCCACTAGGAAAATAAATATTTGTAAAGACATTTGCAAGCAACATGCTGAAAAACAAAAACATATCATAAGGCCATTTATAATGGGAAAAAAGGATATTCAATCTCAAGACAGAAAT